ATACAATGTTGATATTATATATAATATATTTACATCATGAAATAATGACACAATGTAAATAAAAATTAATAATACTTAAAAATATGATAAGTTGATAAAATATAATTGTTGTATGTATGAATGTCATAAAGAGTTGACATAATGTAAAGGAAAGTTGGCACATAAAGAATTGACATTAATGGTTACACAATGCAATAGTAGTGTGAAATGTCATAAAGAGTTAGGATAACGTAATGGAAGGTAAACAATGATGTCAAACGTAATGAAAGGTTGACACTATGTATTATGACTTATATAACTTTTCTCGCATAGTGGTCTAAGGATTTATATAGCGTAAGCATACTATGCCGAAATAGTGCACAACTTTATTTACTGAATAAATTTCTTAATTGCACACGCCGGGGATCGAACTCACGACCATGAGATTGTCAGTCCGATGCCTTATCGATTACGCCACAGAGACGATCAATAATTGGTTAAAATTTATTAAATATATAAACTTAATTTTTACAATTGACACAAGAAGGAGAAAATAGACAAATATTACTTGAAAACAGTTATATTATTCTAAAGAACTTTAGATTAATGTGTACAACAAACTTTCAAACTAATTACATACAGATCGTTAGATGAACTGATTTCATAGGGTCATTAAAACGCTTTTTTCTATGACGCTTGATTGAAGGATGTAAAAGAAAATTATCAATGAGAATCGACAAACAAATAAGGCTTACTAACAAAACAGAAAATAAAGATGAGTTGCTTTGGGAACAGTTTTTAGAGAAAATACGAGTAACCAAAATAACTAAGCATGCAAACAATTTTAGCATGAAGATTTTGAATGAGTTCTTGCAAGTGCGCTGTGTAAGCACCGATATTTTCAGGAAAAAGTCAAATAGATTGCCGCATAAATAATTACAACAGTCAGCATAATAATAACAATATGACACATAGTGCACTTGTCGTGCACCATGTGTCAAACCCTGCCTACTATTTAGGCATACAATTTATATAAGTATGTGAAGTGTCATAAAGAGATGACATAATGTAATGGAAGGTTAACACAATGCAATTGTTGTGTGAGTAAATGTCATAAAGAGTTGACATAATGTAACGGAAGGTTGACACAATGCAATTGTTATGTTCTGCTATAAGGCAGTGACGGCGTTCCATACATTACATAAACCTTCAATAGATTGATCAGTAATTTTTAAAAACTCCATATTTTCATGAACAATTTATGATTTCAAAGTATTCTTAAGGGATCTTATACGGCATATTTCATTCTTTGTTGACAAAAATATGTGGTTCATATCATTGACATTTGCTTTTTAAATAAAAATGGAACTCGTTTAACTTACCTTGTCATTAGTCATGTAAAAACACTTCGTTAAAAAAAAATTAATTTTACACATAAATACTCTGAAGTTGAACTAAAAATATCCCCTAGTTTCTGGAATGTTTGGAGATCAAGATTTCTAACAATCAATTTAAATTTCCGTGGTTACCAATCGCGCAACGTCATTACTAGACCTATTTTTCGTCCATATGAAACAGAATTTGTTTAAAAACTTTTTACGTGAAAAGGATAAAACACTTGTTGTGGCATTAAACTAGACGTTTATAGATATATCCACGACGCATTGTGGATTAACAATAGTTATTTCCATTCTTATGTCAATACGATATATCCTTGTGAGCTTAAGAAAAAGGATACCACAGAAACTGACACATCTGTCTCATATTTGGATATTTCACTAGACAAAGACATTAATGGTTATGTAAAAACAAAACTCTATGATAAACGTAATGACTTTAACTTTTCAATCGTCAATTTGTCTTACCTATGCAGTAGTATGTCTGTTTCACCTGCATACGGAGTCTATATTTCTCAGTTCATTCGATACAGAAGAGAATGTTTTATGAACAGAACATTCATAAACATGAGCATGAATAATTTCTGAAACGGGGTAAATTATTGACAAGCAAGTTGATGAAACAGGGATATCTGTAGTCTCGTTTACAGTCATCATTTCGTAAGTTCTATGATCGATATAATGACCTTGTCAGCAAATACAATTTATCATTAAGTCAAATGCTGACTGCTTTTTTTCATTAAGATTGATAGTCTATTATTTACAGACTGAGTTGTCCACAGAGTTTTACCTTTTTTCCCTAAGACAACAAGGAGCACATTGTGGGTTTTACTAGTCGACAGGGGATGCTCACTCCTCCATGGCACCTGATCCCACCTTTGATGTTCTGGAAGTCCGTGTTTTCCCCGCCCCTAAATTGCAATGTTTAATGGAGGTTTAAGTTCGAATACTTTTCATCCCCACATATATCATTCAGAGAAAGTGTATCCTACATCAAAATTTCAAAACAAACAACTAATTTTTTAGAAAGAAAAATTGGCCTATCTATCAGTGGAATCCAATGGTTTGAAAATTTAGAACAAATGTTAAACTGATATAACATGTAATTACAGACACTGTTTAATAATATATGTGATTTTTTTTTATTAGAATAAAGCAAAAGTTACCTCCATTCTTATTATTAACCTAATTAAATTTTTATACCTGGTCCTCATAGGATAATAAATTTTTGCATATATTTGTAGAAAAATAAATATTTATATAGACAGCATAAAAACGCACACACAAAAAACATGACATTATATTTTCATCTTCACAGCAATTCTCAAAGATAGTTCAAAATCTTAAATTTTGTCCGTTTTCCATTCATTTGAAATGGAAATTTTTGGTAAAGTTAAGATATTTCCTTTTGCTTGGTTAACACGTTTTGTGTACACAACAATGTAAGGAACCCTTTTATATACAGAACAATATCAACTGAAGCAGGTTATATGACATTCTATAAACGATAACTCATATAGATCTACAATTAGTTGGTCATTTTTCACACTTTAGTTACTTTTCCTTAAAATACGACATCGTGCGACTCAGTGATTAATAATTAAATTTTTTAATGATTTTATTAGAGGTATGCATGAGTTATATATTTTTTTTAGAATATCATATACCTAAAAAACTATCTGTTAAATTTGTTTTACCATGTGTGTTACCTGAAAATTATCTGAAAGGTCTATATTATTTTTATGTACTACCTTAAAGGTTTGGTATGACATTCAAGATTCAATATCCTTACATTAACCTTATTTAATTATTACACCATTTTTAAACAAAATATATTTGTAGATAATTTACAAACGCAAGTCAATCACACAGTTAAATGAAAGATTTTGATAATATGATTCATAACACAAAATTAGGATTAAAAACATATAAAAGTGTTCGAATGTTCAAAAACATTTTTTTTTCAAACCTTTAAGCTGGTTCAACGTGCTGAAATATTTCTGTAAACTTCAATTGTTCGCACTTTCTTAGGGAAAATGTACATGATATCTTTATGTACGTGCTTTACATAAACATGGTTGAAACTTAGACAAAAAAATTCTCTTTATTTCAATCTCTCTTTTAATACATAACTCCTTAACTGATGTGTAATGAAATAAAAGTATTGTCTTCATCCAAGTTCATCGAAAAATATATACATATCTTTAAATATATTATTAACTTTAACTTTTTCTATCGTCAACTTCCTTTGCTTGTGCAGCAATATACTTTCGTCACCGGCATACGGAGTTCACATATCTCAGTTGATTATATACATTTGTACGCAAGAGCATGTTCTTCGTATCAACAATTTCTACAATTGGGTAAATTATTGACAAACAAGTTGATGAAACAAGAATTTCAGCAATCTCATTTAAAGCCATCATTTAATAAGTTCTATGGTCTATACAATGACCTTGTCAGCAAATACAATTTATCGAGTCAAATGCTGACTGACGTTTTTCATACTAATTCATAGTCCATTATTTATACACTGAATTGACGACGATTTTTTTTCGTTATTTCCCGATCATGACAAGGAGCACACGGCGGGTGTGACCGGTCGGCAGGGGCATGCTCACTCCTCCATGGCACCTGATCCCACCTCTGATATTTTAGAGGTCCATGTTTTTTCTCTGCTCTTATTTTGTGTTGTTTTATGGACTTTTGATCTGGAATACTGTTTTTATTTCCATATGTTTCATCATTAAACATACATGTATACTTATGCATGCATATTAGACTCAAGCATATTTATTTATTACTTATTTACTGTGTACACACTATAAATAACACTGTAAATGATGTGTAAAGAAATAAAAAAAATTAAGCATTGTGTTCAACCGAAATCATTGTAAAAAAGATGTAAATTAAAATATATCTATTTTATATAAAATATAGCTATATTTTATGCAATAATATACTTTAATACTTTTAAATAAAAAAATCCTCGTTGAACGAAACGGAATAATTTGTTCTCTACTTATACATGTTCATTATATTCAAGAATACTAAACAGTCTATCTAGAGAAATTTTGAAAAATTATGGGAAGTTAACCCTGGATTACATTACACGGAACACTTTCGCTCTTGATCATTTCCTACATTTTTAAGGAGATAGAGCATTTATATTTTTCCTTATCCTATGTATCCCAGGCATATTACAAATATTTGTTCACCACTTACTTGTATATTTCTATGCTTTCTTTCAAACTTATCTGGAAGTTAAAAATAATATACACATAAAGTGTAGGTTAAATGTCAAAACAGTTATATCAAAACTTAATCGTGATAATATAAACTGATAATGGTGATGTTTATGAAGAGTTCACAAAAGAGCTCTGGTCCTTAAAACATTTAATGAATCAATGACACCATGTGTTAGATCACATGTTTAGCACTATTTAATGCACTATGACCATGAAAATTGTTTCAATGTATTATTGAGTCGACAAAAACTATTAAAATTACTAAAATTGCCAATATTTGAACGCCTGATACAATTAGTAATCAGTTATGCTTACGCAAACATATTTAAATACAAACAAGGAACAAAATTTTGATGAAAACGTCAAGTACAAAGAATTGATTTAATTGTAGCATTTTAATGAGGTATAAATGTACAAATATATTTTTCGTTGCAGAGAATATAGCATATTAAGGAAGAATATATCGTCTTTATATGGAAATAAAACAATTCAACAGGAAAGAAAAGATAGCCGGTTTGATTTAAGCTGGTAAAAATAAAAGATGGGACTGGAGCAAAGATGCATAATATGTCTGTATTGTAAGTATTTCTATTGTTCTACAAAGATTTTACGCTTCCCTGTAAGTTACAGTTGTAGGATAAAATTTAGCAATAGAAATTTACCAAATTTTTAAATTCTGCAAATGAGTCCATTAACTTGTATATACAGTATTTATTTGTCATGACTTTGACAAAATAACTAATTGCAAATAAAAATATGCTGACGGAAATGTTTTGCTCATAAATAGATTCCTACATATCCCAAAAAAGGGTTTGAGCAAATTGTATATTACAAAAAGCAATTTTCTGCCTGTGTTTCTTAATCGCACTTTTACACTTGCAAAGAACTTTAAGAAATGGTAAACCTAACTATGTGAAAGATTCAAGTAATTAAATAGACTCTATTCTATCTTAAAATGTTGCATCATAATGCAAAGTGGGTAACGGAAGATTGATTGAAAGTCTTCAAATTCAGAACTTGACCCGGCACTTAGGGCTATTTAGAAGAGAGGGTTCTTAATCACACCAAACGCATACCGTGATATGGGGCCTCTGTTTTTAAGGTCTCGTCTGAATGACCCGCAACTTTCTCTTCAAATTGTCGAACGTTGGCGAAGGAAGGGGCAGATGCTACTTATTTTCATCGACTTGGGTCACTCGCGGCAGTATTTTGAACACACGACTTCCCGATCACAAAGTAAGCGCTCTATCGATCGAGCTACCGTGACGGTAGATCAAATACTGAATCAAAGTTTACATTGGAATATTGTGAAACAATATTTCTAAATCTTCTCCTTAACAGCAGGCATGAAAGCAAATTTGATTTACAATTGATTCTAGTTGATGGAAAATGAAAGTGTTCAACTTTAAGCCCAACGTTTAGTATGGAAATACACCAAGGTATCTAAATTACCACAGGAATTATTTATGTAAAAAATCTGAATTCCCCTGAAATTAGATATACAGGTCAAAGCCTCATTTCTAAAGTCACCCGAAAAACCTGCAACATTCACGTAAAAAAGCCGAAAGAACGTTTCCTTTCTTTCTTTATCTTTTATTGATATACGATAGTCGATGCCGAATTTTGAAATTCATCTTTACATTGTGGATTCTAAAAATTCTCGAAATGACGGTAAAAAAAACACTCCATCTTAAATTAGAAAAAAAAAATTACACAATTATGTTTCAGTTTTCCTTTTATTTTTTGGAAATGACAAACTATATAATGCCAATTATGAGGATGTCATGGCATTTAAGGACAGACGATACAAACAAACTTATGTCAAGAAATTTGAAAACAACATTTTGGGTCATGTTTAAATGAATAAACTGAATATATTTCACCGCGTAATTTTTAGTTTTTTATTCAAAATTTTACAAATATGTGATTTGAAGTGAAAAATATTTCAATTGTATATATCAATAAGGATGATTTCAGAAGGACCGACTTTTGAACATAACAGAAGGTTTATAATTTCTTAATATTCTAGAAATTTGTTATTTGCATCGTTTGCAATATAATTAGGCCAAAAATATATACTGATTCCAGGCATCCATTTTTTGTCTGTATCATCTGTCCTTAAATGTAACTAATTTTCGAAAGTCAATAACGAATTTCCTAATTGTTTTAATCATGACAACTTTTTTACCGTTCTCGTACTTATGCTAACATATTCTTCCACTAATTGTATTCATATTTTTTTTAGTTTCCTGTCTCCTAAATTTTGGGTTGACACAACTAAAACACCAGTCAAGCTCTATGCATTACATGGGGTAAAATATACATTTTACATCATTTACGTATTTAACTATTCAAATCACTTTTGTAGATATAGGAGCTAAATTCTATGGAAAGTATTCAGACATTTCCAACCAGACATTCATTACTACAGTTTTGAGGTAATTTATTATTGAAGATTAATTTTACAGGAATTTTCCTTATCGCAATATCCTTTCATTCGTCAAAGGAAATCAAAGTTGTGATGTTTCTTCTAGAAATATGTTGTCCATTCTCAAAAAGGGTACGAATTTAGCTCTCTTTTACATCATATTTTTACAAAATGCGCCATGACTGGTGAATGTCCCATTAATTACTTATATGAATATTTTCGAATGGAGTACTCAGTCAATGGTTTCATTTAAAAAAAAAGCTTTTAATTTTGATATATATAATTTTGCTAATATGTGGATAATTATGATTCTTTTTAATTTTCAAATTTCAATTAATTTTTAGAAGATATATGTTTGTTTATATGTGGATGATCGTGTTTTTTTTTAAGTTTCAATTTTTGTAGAAGTTCACGATCAAGACGAATCAGTATCAGATTACACCTGCCTATTGTTCCTGGATGACGATCTGTCAGAAGAAAATTCTGTATTGAGAATCAGAGATGTATATGCAGAAATCCACGAATACGACGTGGAATACAAGTTCAGATTAAATCCGTTTAAGTGTAAACTTGAAAAAGATCTACCAAATGTAAATCTCTCTCTCACATGTTTCCAACGAAAAGGTATTTAATTTTGAATTCCTCCATGTACATGTATATTTTTTTATTTCATAGATATTGAACTAGAACTAACCTGCTTAAGATGAGCATTGTCCCACCAGCATCATAACAAGGATTTATTTAAAAACGTTATGAAAAATTGTTAACAGTACAATATTAATGACATATTGATTTTAAATCGGATTATTTTATTACAATGGTTTGAGAATTCTCATTTTTTTATGTGCTAAAATAATTTTAGATTATGTTGCAAAAGCATGTCAGAATGGGAAAGGGTGTGATGATGATCTGGAACTTTGTCAGAATTACAGAGATTTTCAAAAGTCAATCTGTATTCGTAAGATTTCTAAAAATATTTTCAAAATTTCTATTTATTTAAGTTTTATTGTAATTAAATTAATTAATATCATTATAATATTAAACTTTTATCAGGATATCAGTACGGGTTGTTCATAAAACCAAATCCAATGAGCACGAACATTTTAAGATTTGGTAGCTTACCATCACGTATTTACATCCCAATAAATGTTTAAAAATAATATGTCACCTTCATTTATATTTTTGATTAACTCTTCATATATAGGGAGTATAAATGTATGACAGAAATCATTGCAAACGTTAATAATGTAATTTAAAATGGTACAAACATTAAATCGTGGTCTTATTTACTGAACTATTATTTTAAAAGATGTAAAAATGAGGAAACACTGCTATTTTTTAGGTTAATCAGATAGTATAATATAACAAAGATTTTTATTTGCATATGAGTAAGATTTTATCCCTCGTACCTAACTTATAGTCCGTGAAAAAATTACTGAATTTTAGTTTGAAGTTAAATTTCTAATAATATTTTCTATTTATTTGAAGCTAAGCGGAAATATAATGAATCATGTGGCATGCATTCTCAATGCTATAAGAATACCATTTGTATCCAAACTGAGCAAAGAAAGTCGCTGTGTCTTTGCAAAGAAGGATTCGAGTTTATGAATGGAGATTGTCTGAAAGGTTCAAATTTTTTATGCTCCCGTATTCATTGTTTCGGGGTTATGTAGTTTTGCCCTGTCTGTCCGTCTTACTGTCTCTTTGTCTGTTTTCTGCTTTTCACTTTGTCCCCAAGAACTCTAAGATCGCCGATAGCTATTGACTGGGTAGGGGGTATGACTTTCATATTTCTCAGATGTATTTATTACTTGTGACAAGACCTTTAATTCTATTGATGCTTTCAAATTTGACATCTTGACCATGACCTTAGAGTTGCTAAAAAATCACCACACCTTGATTTTTGCCATAATTTTTTAACAGTACTGTTGGTGCTAGGGATATCATTATTTCGAATACTTGTATGCATTTTTTGTGAGACCATTTCATTGGGTGTAAAATATTTTAACGTTTGACCTGAGAGTTTGACACAATTTGTGTAAAAAAATTAGCTGTGGTCATAACTTTTGAACAGTTAGTACGAGGGCTTTCCAATGTCACATATGCATTCCTTGTGAAAAGACCTTCAATGATTTTGATCTTTTTACCTAAGAGTTTGACTTTCAATTTAGGAACTTCAGCTTTCGCCATAAGCTGCCGTTAGGGGGCATCAATGTTTCACAAATACATCTTGTTATTATTAAAAATTTGTATATTTTGTTCCAACACTACACGATAAGATATTGATAATTATTTTAAACATGAAAATGTTTCATAATCATATAAAACTAATTTAAAAATAAATAACTGTGTATCACATGTAGCTGACGAACGTTTTTATGCTAAGTACTTCGCGTTTCTTTTGGCACTTTCGTCCGAGTAAAAAATAAACATATAAAATGATTTTTTACTGAAAGCTTGTTAAGGAGGGATGGAACGTTCCTAAATAATATATAATTTTTTTCTGAGATTTTGTCATTGAAGTATTGCTACCTTAACATGTTTACTCCCCAAAATTGAGATACCTCACCAGGCATTTGTGTAAGATACCAGATTATGATGTTTATTTTTGGAAATAACTTAAATCGATAATATCAAAAATTTTAGCTCTTTAATTTTTTACGGACAATTAGAAATCAGTTTAGAAATCATAGGGTTATTATAATTTTACACATTTTTTATTACAAAGAATAATAATAATAATAATAAACAGATTTCTAAGGAACATCACGTCTGACTTTAATGAAGTTTTATTAATTTGTATAATAACATAAACTAGTATTTTGACAACGAATATTCCTCTTTGTAATCTTTTTTTAAAAATATTAGATGAATGTGAAGGAAGCTAACTTTAATATTCGAGTATGCTTGGTATATTTAACTGTCAAAGACCTTAATTTTTCTGAGTCATCGACTTTTACTGATTTTATTTAAAGTTGGAATAGCGCTCGCCAAGGAATGTGTTGACAGTAGACAATGCATAGGAGGAGAGATCACTACAGAATGTGTCTATGATGCTTATACGAGAAGACGTGCTTGTTCCTGCAGTGCAGCATTCATTGAAATCAATGGAAAATGTCTGCAAAGTAAGTGTCTGCAAATCCCAGTTGGACACAAGATACCTATGCGAATTTAAAATTTCTCTTTCAATTCAAATGGTACGTGTATTTCGTATTAGAAGTCCAAGCAACTGGTCATTTTTCTTCTTTACAAATACATTTACATTCACCCTTTGGTAAGTTACTTTTATTGAAGTTTGATATCATCGATAGAAAAAAGAATTTCTTATTTTAACGTTCTCTGATGGTTTTGATACTGTAGATTCCTTATTTTTCGAGAGAAGTTAATATCGCGAATGGGTTCATCGACATCAAATCGCGATAATAATAATTCGCGAATGAACTGTTGATAAAGAGCTTTTTAGATTTCAGCACGATGAATTGTAAGCCGAGTAATTTTATTTTGCGTGTGATGAATCCCGCGAAATTACGCGATAATTAATTCAACATGTATATTTATAAATCTACAGTATAGAATGTTCAGGTTTGTACCCTTGCAATAAAAGTTAATGGGGCAAATATCTTTAATATATGAATATCTATCATTCAAAGGAGATCGACGACTTTATGAACCGTGTGAGTCTTCACTTCAATGCAGAGGAACTCATGGTGCCAAGGAATGCAGAAATGTTGCAGGAGTAAAATTCTGCTATTGTCCTGATGGATATGACATCATCAACGGAAGGGGATGTATGAAAGGTCATTAACAAAGATTAACAAAGAGTTCCTTTCAGTGTTATCGTAGTTTAAAGTATGATTGGATGAAATCAAAGTTGGTGTGAAAAAAATACTTGACTTCTAATATAAATTTTGTCTTAATGACTTTTGAAACCCGTTTAATTCATGAAATCTCAATTTTGTATTCCTAACAATCAGTTATTTAAGCATTGAATTCATATTTTTTGGATGTCTTCGATCCTATAACACACCTGGCCGTGCCGACAAATTGAATACCGCGCATTATGAATTCAATGCTTATATTTACATTCTCTAATTTGCTTATTTCGTTCATCTTAAAATTTAATGTAAATTTAGCGCCCTTCAAAACTGCCGTGGCTAATAGATGTAAGAGCCGTTTGTGACGTCAAATGACGCTGCAAAGATAAATAACGCAAACAAACATTGCGAGGGAAAAAGTGACAAATTAATTTTTACGTTAATTTTTCAGGGTTATATAGTTTTTCATTAAATTGAAATAAAACATTTCACATTTTAGTGTCCCTAGAGTATTGAAAATGCTTATAGTTCCTGCTTTGTATTCTAACGTGCGGTGACAAGGTTTCGCGCGTGTTATAGGAATTTGAACTTCGTGGACTTGTAATGAATTTCATAAGGAAAATTACACTGAATGTAAATATGATAATTTATTTTCAAATGATTGATAGTGTAAATTGCAACAGATTTTCTCAAATTCTCTGCTGTAGCAACGTTTTAAAACCTTGAGAAAGATTTTTTTTCAATTTAGTGAATATTTCATAAACTAAACATATTTTAAACCCCTTTCTTGATTTGGACTGAACATTTCTGTATCCTTGATGTAAATGTGCGTGTGGACAGAGGGGGGGGGGGGGAATTTAGGAAATGCTTTACTTTAAATCTTAAATTTCATACAAGATAAGTGTAGTTTTGCTTAATTAAACAACGTTCATTTTGTTCAACAATTTCACTGAAGATTTTTTTTAAAAATCTGCAATTCAAAAAGAAATTCCATAATTTAACGAAATCCTACTCAAAGTATATCATAATTCATTGGCTGTAATCATGATAGGTCTTATCTTTAACCTGCGGCAGGAATTTTTAACCGAGAGGATCATTCCTGTCAAGGTGTAATTAACACCTTTATTCATCTAAGTCATCGACTTTTACTGATTTTATTTAAAGTTGGAATAGCGCTCGCCAAGGAATGTGTTGACAGTAGACAATGCATAGGAGGAGAGATCACTACAGAATGTGTCTATGATGCTTATACGAGAAGACGTGCTTGTTCCTGCAGTGCAGCATTCATTGAAATCAATGGAAAATGTCTGCAAAGTAAGTGTCTGCAAATCCCAGTTGGACACAAGATATTTACCCGGTATGCGAATTGAAAATTTCTCTTTCAATTCAAATGGTACGTGTATTTCCTATTAGAAGTCCAAGCAACTGGTCATTTTACTTCTTTACAAATACATTTACATTTACCCTTTGGTGAATTTCTTTTATTGAAGTTTGATATCATCGATAGAAAAAATGAATTTCTTATTTTAACGTTCCCTGATGGTTTGATACTGTAGATTCCTTATTTTTGCGAGAGAACTTAATATCGCGAATGGGCTCATCGACATCAAATCGCGATAATAATAATTCGCGAATGAAGCATTGATAAAGAGATTTTTTTTTATTTCAGCACCATAAATTGTAAGCCGAGTAATTTTATTTTGTGTGTGATGCTTCCCTCGAAATTACGCGATATTCAATTCAACATGTATATTTGTAAAGAATGTTCAGGTTTGTACCCTCGCAATAAAGGTTAATGGCGCAAATATCTTTAATATATGAATATCTATCATTCAAAGGAGATCGACGACTTTATGAACCGTGTGAGTCTTCACTTCAATGCAGAGGAACTCATGGTGCAAAGGAATGCAGAAATGTTGCAGGAGTAAAATTATGCTATTGTCCTGATGGATATGGCATCATCAACGAAACGGCATGTTTGGAAGGTCATCAACAAAGATTAACAAAGAGTTCATTTCAGTGTTATCGTAATTTAAAGAATTGTTGCATGAAATCAAAGTTCGTGGGATAAAATACTTGAATTCTAATATAATTTTGTCTTAATGCCTTTTAAAACCCGTTTAATTCATGAAATCTCAATTTTGTATTCCTCACAATCAGATATGATAATTTGTTTCCAAATGATTTATAGTGTAAACTGCAATAGATTTTCTCAAAGTGTCTGCTGTAGCAATGTTTTAAAACCCTGGATTATTATTCACTTTAATGAATAACATATCTTAAACCCCTTTCTAATTTGGACTGAACAGTTCTGTCTCCTTAATATTAATGTGTTTGTGTACAGGGGGATAAATTTAGGAAACGTTTTACTTCAAATTTTAATTAGCATACAAGATAAGTGTAATTTTGCTCTATTTAAACAACGTTCATTTTGTTCAACAATTTCACTGAAGATCTTTTTAAATCTGCAATTCAATTAGAAATTCCATGATTTAACGAATTCTACTCAAAGTAAAACATAATCCAATGGCTGTAATTGTGATAGGTGGCAGGAATTTTCAACCGAGAGCCTCATTCCTGTCAAGGTGTAATGAATAAGCCAACCCATTTACAATCACTGAATAATTAAAGTTCTTTTTATTATACTGCAAAGGTATGCAGTGTTTTCGGAGGGAAGGATTATCTTATACTATAGTTTCAAAGGCAAAACATGGAAATAAAAATATTATAAAAGTCTGAACAAGTATATTAAGTAAAATAGGCAAGAATGAGCTGAAACATCGATTACCTTACAATGCTTTTGAAATAAAGATGACATCACCAGTATAAAAAATGATTGCGTTGAATCAAATTTGGTGGAAAACGTTAATAAAATTTTCCGAAAGGTGAATAGCACAATCTTTACCCTGGCATAACACTTTGCTAGGCATACAAATTTTGAAAGATTTTTTTTTAAATGCTTTTTTACCTTCTTACCTTTATATTGGTTATTTTTAGTTATCAAGTTTCTTTTGATTGGTCTTATTTATGCATTAAAGAACTGATATCTACTAATTTTTAAATTAGATATATAAACTACAGTTGAAAAAAAAATGTAACTTATGTAAGGACTTTTTATACCCCTCATAATTCAAGATGCGAGCTATATATTTTTGCCTTGCCCATCCTTCCGTTTGATTATTAATCTATTTATATGCATAAACTTTAACCTTGCCCATAACTTTAATTGTTTGAAGTTCTGGCTTTTATATTTCACATGTGTATTTTTTAATTTTGTGTTAATCCCTTTCTTTTAGTATAAATTTACTTGAGCTCTTGACCTTGACTTTTGACCCACTTTTTCAAAAAACTTCAAACTTTGACCTTGGCCATAACTTTTGTACAGATATTGCACAGTCTGCTTTATAAGTGAATTTTTTTGTCACATGTCCTTTTTCGGGTATGAATATACAAGTATTTGACATTTTGAACTGAACCTAAAAGTTTGTACTACATTGATTTTAAATAACTTAAAGTTTGGAATAACTCAATTAAAACGAAAGGCTTTTGTATTTCATATGACTTGTGTATTTCCTGCGAAAAAACCTTCCTCCTTTTGGCCTTGACCTTTGAGTTTGATCTACTTTTCACAAAGAAATATATCTGCCATATATCTCTTGGGCACAGTTTGGGATGGTATTGCTTATTTCTTAAGACATTTCTTCTCCCTTGGTATCTTGGATTTTGATCCAGACCATGGCGGACATCGGTGTGTCACAAATTATCTTTTTTATTATTATCATAGTAGGTAAATCCATCGGAGAGGCTTGTTATGTAAAAGAACATTGTACAGGAACACAGAATGCACATCAATGTCAGCTTTATAATGAAACAGGAATTAGGATCTGTCAGTGTAACCCTGGCTTCTTACAACATGTTGATCAATGTCTGCAAGGTATTTTACATCAATATTATAATGCCATATGGTTCACAATAATTTGAAAGTATAACGATTGGCAAGTCTCAATGAACTCTAATTCAGCCAACAGGATGTTGTATGAAGATTGTATACTAGATGATCAGTGCAATGGAACATCTGGTGCGGGTGTGTGCAAAACTGTCCGAGGCAAAGGGTTATGTGTGTGTGCTTCAAACTACATAGAAGACAAGGATACATTGAGGTGTCGAAGAGGTAAAATAATTTATGCCAGACTAGAATATTTTACAGTAACATGTCGTCGTTCGAATCTAGGATTGCATAATAAATATGTATTTCGTATCGTCTTCTATGGTCGATACAATGACCTTGTCAGCAAATACATTTTATCTTTCAGTCAAATGTTGACTGACGTTTTTCATACGTATTGTTATTCCACTATTTATACACTGAATTGACGTCGAATCTTTTCGTTATTTTCATGACAAGGAGCATACGGCGGGGTGACAGGTCAGCAGGGGATGCTCATTCCTCCATGTCACCTGATCCACCTGCAATGTTTTGGAAATTCGTGTTTGCTCTGCTCCTATTTTGTTTTGTTTTACGGACTTTTGATCTTGAATACTGTTCGTTATCCCCATATGTTTTATTCTTACTAACTCATCACAATGTTTTTTTTTTATGTTAGAAAAGAAGTCTTTTCATTTTATGCATTGTTTCAGCCAAGAAAAATATTTTTGATACATGTAAAATTGATGAGCAGTGTACTGGTACAGAAAACGCTGGAGTCTGTCTTTATGATAAACGCAATGAGACGGGTGTTTGTGCTTGCAATGACGGATATATTTGGCATAAAGAAAGGTGTATAAAATGTAAGTCTTACATTGTGATACATATTTCACTATGAACGAGAATGTTTTACACTTATTTTTTCACTTTCAATTCTCTATTCATAGAGAATCGTCACTAACTACCGGTGTAATTTATTTGGCAATCAGATTTATTGGGCAGCGAGGATTCTTTATCGTGCCAATTCCTGTCGTAAAACAGGGCGTCGGTTTTTATCGACTCATTCGAAAGAAGATCAAATTGCCGAGCGCTTGGCGAAGGTACAATTAATTGCTAAGAATTTTCCACTAGAATATGTCACGGCTCTTGTTCTAACTTTCGACTTTCCCATCAGTGAGCGATCGCTTTAAAAAAGAGCTATTGTGATTTCCAGTAAATAAAAGGCTTCATAAATAGATTTATTACCGTTATAAAACTAGTGTGTGTATTATAACTGTATTTCAGAAATATGATTGTAAAGAAATTTCAACATATTACACAGTTCATGTCCTCTTAAATTTTGATACATTGCAAAATTAAAAGTGGTTTTTATACCTTTAGAACCTTTCAAAAACTTTGATCCTATGAAAGATTATTTTCACTTTCTAATTGCAGCGGACATTTTTTTATTTGGATCTTGTGAGTACGATATACAATGTAATGGAACAGAAGGTGCAGACGTCTGTAAAACTTTCGGGGAACGACAAATATGTTATTGCAAACCTGGACACCTTGAATTTCAAGGACGATGCATTGAAGGTTACATTAATCATGATTGTATTATTGTTTCATCAACATTTAGAGACACTGAATGGTGGAAGTTCTATTGCGGAATTTCTTTTTATTTTTTAGGGGAAAAACATTTAGGTGAACCATGCGAGACAAACAAACAATGTTTGAGTGTAGAAGACAATGTAATTTGTGGTCAAAATTTGTCATGCTCATGTAATGATGGATATTTCAAAGTTGGACAAGAGTGTGTAAAAGGTACGATTTGTGAACAATTATTACCTTTTTTATAGTTACTAAGACAGGAGTTCGTCAATCCATATGTCATTGTAAAGTATCTTTTGAAAATTCCAACACCTTTTTTGGAAAAAAAAATCTCCATATTTCATTGCCTAAACGCTTTGATACCCCTTTATGTCTAAACATTATAAAAATGCTTACAAACAAAAAAATATTAACATTCATGAGGGAGAAATTCATGAAAACTTTAAAGCATCATATTTGAAAAATGATGTTCTATAAATTTTTTTTGTTTTAAAAAATCACAAAATTTACTTAAAATAAATTGCTACAAACGTAGTATTTGCAACATTTTATACAAACATATCTCACGACAACCGGGAAGACTAGAATTTTCATTACAACTATTCTTAAATATAATAGCTTGATAATGTGCATACCTTGTCATGAGTTATTATAATAAAATTGTGATGTTGTTCACCGTCTGATCAACCCAATTACTTGACATGAAAAAATACTGAAATGATTGATAATAACTAGGAAATTTCAGACACAGTCTCTGACCTTCCAACAATCTGCTCCTCTGAATTTCCATTCAGTTTTCAGCTCGATTCATGCAAAAGATGAGATATTGTCAATTAAAATCTCAAGCATCTATTTAACATCAACTTCAGAGAAATCTGTCTACAATCAGATTTCCCCCAATGCATATCTTCCTTTTATATAAAATAATACATACCAATAAAAAATTTCAATGTATATGATTTGAAAAACGGAATATTTAAAAACAAAGACAAGAAAAGCAAATCATAGCATCTTATTCAATGTTTTTTACAAGTCCATTTTGCTCTATGCATAATTTGTAATGTTTCAATGAACTTTTGGAGGTTGACTATTTTTCTTATTATTATTTTATTTTATTTATTTTATTATTAATATCTTATTTTATTTTTCTGTCTTTCGTACATGCATTTAATTTTATCTGTAAAAATTATATAGAAAAAATATAATACTCAAGATTTCGTCTGTCTTTTCATTAGTTATACCATGGTTTATGCTCTGTGTTTTCGTCAAATAATGCAATATTAAGTTTTACCTTTGATATTCATTTATAGCATGATTATTTGGTATTTAATTCTTAATAGTAACTTAGGTTAATTCAAAGCTTAAAATTATTTTCATTTTTTTACTAGTACATACACTCCCTTTTTTTTATACTTCGTGTTGGTATCTGTCTATCTTATTTAAAATACCGTATTTTGGCAAAAAAAGAGAATATATTTGGGTATGTTGACCCTTAGGGAATCTCTCTCTGGGTCAAAGTTGTGTAGAATCATCACAGTGTACAGGGACTGAGAACAGTGGACGATGTGTATATGGGCTGTGCTCTTGTGATGTGGGATTTCATCTAAACAAGCTGCAGTGCATTTCAGGTGTTTATTCGTTTAATAAAGAAAATAAGTATTTCATTTTAGTCATGTTGATCAAGATATTACACAGTACTACTCAACGTGATTTATTTCAATACCTTTTAAAGTAAGTTCTGGGAATTGACAGAAAATCAGTACTAGTCTAGTAGTTAGTATACTATAATATTATTACATGTATATAATACTATTCGTATATGGGATAAGAGGTGAAGAAATACCGGGGTATATAGTATGCATACCAAGAGTGAAACATCAAAGGTATTGAAAATTATATAAAATACTTAAGCTGAAATCTACTTAAAGTATTTAAGAATTTTCTATAGCTTCTTATATATTTCTGCATTTGTGATATCATTTTTATTATACTAAATATTTTATGCATTTTTATCAGTAGAAATATTATTTCTATCCCAATCTTTTGACCTTAACATTCTAAATTAAAGAAAAAAAACATCCGTTCCTTTTGGTTGGTTCTGTTGTCCTCCTCCTTGTGGTAACGATATCAATCATAACTTGCCTCATGGTGTGTAGAAGAAAATTGAAAGCGCGGAGTGGAAGGTATTTTTCCTCTTTGTGCATACACCAATTTCAAAACGAATCCTGAAACTTACGTTGCTCATACATGTCCACTGATTTCTTGATGTAGACTGGTTGTTCATACAGCTGATAATGTACCAGAGGACCATAACTACTACACCTATGCTATTCCTGGCAATATCAGAGATACAAAGGTTAGCTCGAAACAAAAAAAAAAAAAAAATTCATCAATTTAATTTCATATTTGCTTCATTGTTAACATCCAGATTGGCTTAGCACATTTTTCTTGCTTTCAGGAATGTCAAATCCCTCTAAGTCACAGTGATTGCAGTTATAAAGGAGATACACTTTACGACACAACTCACCACGCAGAGGAGCAAACAACAGAAAACTTGTATGACGTCAGTGAACCGCTGTCCACTTTTAGAGAACCATCCTCCTCTGAGGGCGTGTATATGTACAACCACCTACATGATAAAGAAACACAGCTGTGTGAAAATCTATATGACGTCACAGAGTTTCCTGTTTCTCATAAGACAGACGCATAAAAGGATTCATGTATATCGCAAGGTTTATGTCAAGGAGAAATACTAAGTGATCAGCAACTTTACATGTTTTTCAGGCTCATATTCCAATAAATGTGAAATTTAGACTTTTGATATACAACATGTTTAGGGCTTGAATATTTTTTTTATGAAATGAGGACAAGTACTTTAATATTCATTATGTCTTTTATTTAAAATTGTACAATATATGTCATGTACTTGACTGGTACTGAATTTTATTTTTATCTTCAAGTTTTTTTTAAAATATATATAGATTTTTATCCTTTAGGGAAGGATGTAATGTTATTGATGCATTAAAAATCTTAACTAGTAGCTCACTTGAGAAAAAATCTATATATCCAAAGTTGCCATAACGCATCTTGAGTTGGAGAAGATTCGAGATTTTTTTCTCTTTTTTAATGAAGGGCTACACTTTCTTCCAAGGGGAAATTATTCCAATGGGAGATTATTCCAATGGGAGATTATTATGAATTAGTTGAAAAATTGTGGCATTTTTTTAAATCTTTAATTTCTCAAGAACCACTTGGCCAAAAAATATCAAACTTATAGCAAAAATTCTTAACATAGTGCAAATTCAAATTTGCTTAAATAAAAAGACCCACAAGGGTAGATAGGAGCCACAATTGGAGATCGAGTCTTACATTTGTATAAATAGGAAATTATAATTCTTTAATAATCTTCTCAAGAACAGAAAGACATGTTTAGTCATTTAGTTGTGATAGCTAAATAAATTAATTTTTATAATCGCTTGAAAAATAAATCAATTACCCAAGGGGGCTAATAATAAGGTATATAATGTTTACTTCCAATGAAAAAATATATAATAATATTATGCTTTATTTCTTAAGAAGATCATTAATCAGTATAAGCAACTAAGCATGTAACCTGTATAAATTAAACAGTAGCTTTCTGTCGAGCTAAAAAGTCCATCAAATATTACAAATAGGAGCACAGCAGTCATGGACCTCCAAAACATCAGAGTCTGGATCAGGTGTCGTAGAAAAATGACTCGTTGTGTGCTCCTTGTAAAATGCTCAAAAATCCGTTGACAACTCAGTCTGTAAATAATGGCCTAACAATCAGCATTGAGAAAGTAAGTCAGCATTTTACTTAATATTATTATGCTTCCTGTCAGTTTGTCTCTATATAACCCATACCCTACTATTCTCGCATAGTGGTCTAAGGATTTATATAGCGTAAACACACTATGCCGAAATAGTGCACGGCTTTATCATGTTTATTTATTGAAGAAAATTCTTCAATGCACACGCCGGGGATCGAACTCACGACCATGAGATTTATCGATTACGCCACAGAAACGATCACTGATTGGTAAAATTTTATTATATATATAATCTTAATTTATACAATTGACACAAGAAAGAGAAAATAGACAAATATTATTTGAAAACAGTTATATTATTCTAAGGAACCTTAGATTAATGTGTACAACAAAGATTCAAACTAATTACATACAGATCGTTAGATGAACTGATTTCATAGGGTCATTAAAACGCTTTTTTATATGACGCTTGATTGAAGGATGTAAAAGAAAATTATCAATGAGAATCGACGTCTACAAACAAATAAGTCTTACCATAGACCTAAATCGACCTAAATCGAAGGGACTGCCGACTTATGACGTCACAATCACTATCTTCTTGTGATTGCAGCGCCCTCACCGGGATGTATAGAAACAGACTTCCTGTAATGAAATCAATGTTGTCGCATCACGGATTTCTGCATTCTTTAAGGAAATAACAACAAATTAGAAAAATCAATCACTTATCTAAGCTTTCTTCGACGAAATGATCTCGATTTACTACTTCGGAAGTTATAACTTTACGCTATGGAGTCGATGGAAACGTTTTAACTGCAGAAATCAGCTGACTACGACGTGACATCTCTTGAATGCTGTCGATTATATTTTACGGTAGTACATGTTTATCTTCTTAATTATTTTACAAAATAAGGACACAATTTATCTACCAATATTTGAACAACGACCAATTTCAGATCTTCGCTGAATTAATATAAATAATAAATACATTGTGAAGTGCCGTTTACCATAAGTGCTTGAGGACGGGACCCCCCTCCCCCTTTTTCGATATAGACCCCTGGGCTTTTTTTCTCATAAATAATCTTTCATTGACTTATTTGTGATAAGATCTATACCAAAAATTAGAAAATTACCTAAAGCAAACGTTCTTTAGATTCTACCCTACACTCTATATAAAAATCAACGAAAGTGGGGTAAAATTTTTATAGAATGTTAGTTTAATCAAATTTTCTGAATTGATTGGATAGATTATATCACAAATGTTTCATCCATATATAATTTATATGAAAAAGTCTAACAGGCCCTGGGGTCTATATTTATGTGAAAAAGTCTAACAGGCCCGGGGGTCTATATTGGGAGGGGGGGGGAGTCCTGTCCTCAAGCACCTGTGCCGTTTACAGGTTTTAGATCAACAACTTAATAAATTGAGACTAGATGTTCCCGTGAATGATCTACATAATTATGTATTTTTAAAAAGTTGGATTTATGTAATTTATGTAATCGTGTTAATTCAGGATTACAACATTGCCAGTGTTGAAAAGATTTTCTAAGAGATTTTTTTTTTCATTTTTCCCCACAGGTTTTGTAGATAGCCTGTCCGCGTCTCAAATAAGAATAGGGGTCTGCCTTGCACACCAAACTCTATGGAAAATATTTTAGAACATGGTCATGCCATGTACCACCTGGCATGATGAGTTAAATGTGAGAGAACAAAGATTGCTCACAAACCTGCACAGGATTAAATCAACAAAAGTGCCAAGTGGTGTGTCCCATGTATGCACGGCTGAGTTGCATATGACTGGATTTCAATGATTTAATTATCATGTTTAGAACGCCATTTTTTTTTCAACTATACTGTGTATATCCAGAATGTGATTATAATTAACTTTTGTATATCATAACTCAAAGACAAACTGCATCAATATAAATATTAAATAATTTAATGTGACTGTAATGCAATATTATTAAAATCATTGTTATATTTAATTTTAGACTTTTCCTTTTCTATAGTGAGCTTATATTGGTGAGCACTGTTTAGATGTACATGTATGGCATATTTAATGTCTTTTTAAAATATATATTTTCAATGTAATCAATCACAACTGCAAAAAAGCAAAATCATAATCGCTGAGGATCATGTTCAATCTTATCAGCAGCTCTGAAGAACAAACACTAGTAAGTAATTATTTTATATATGCAAGATCTACTGCCACTATGATCAAACTGTTTGATCTTGAATCAACTGCTTAAATAGAAGTTTTAATAACTTACTGTAGCTCAAAACACACAGGCACTTGTAAATCTTATCCTTTTTTTTTTATGAAATTATACTCCCTATACCTTATTAGGTAGGACTTTAGGGAAAATGTTCTTTTTTATATTGAAAGAATCATACTTAAATGGGAACAACTTTACCCCTTTTAGCCCTAAATTTCAAACCCTAAAAAAGTTTGACAAGCTAAAAAAAAAAAGGAAAAAGTGTCCATTTCGTACAAACTCGAAAATCCTGTCGGGGGGGGGGGGGGGATCGAACTTCTTGCCTACATTATAATAAAAAAATGGGGTGGCTATAGGCTTGCCAAAGAATACTCCTATTAGTACTCATTACTTGTGTTACTGTACCATAGTCATGCATAGGGGCCTGTTGCGATATCAGCGTCGTCAAACACTGCTATTAAGCATAAGATGTTTGCTCTTTAAAAAAATCACGTATCAATTATTTAATAGGCCTATCTGTTTTTTATATATGAACTTTTTTTTCATCGAGCAGCATCTTGAGCAACCTCGCATGCATTTTGACAGCTTCTCTGTGACCATGGCCATCATCTGTCATGTTAAATACTCAAACTGTTTAACTTTTTTTACACATTAAAAACAAGATAAATACCTCAAAAGCTGCACAAAGAACTCTTTAGTGTATTAGTAAAAAGAATTTGGTACATTCGGCAAAAGTTTAATTCATTCCATGCTAAAATATCTCGACAATGTAGATGTAAATAGCCTAACGTAATCTTTGTACTGCCGGATGTTTTCTATACATCCCGGTGAGGGCGCTGCAGTCGGAGGGAGATCGTATAGTGATATCTATTGTGACGTCATAGGAGTCGGCGATCCCTTCGCTTTAGGTCTATGGTCTTACTAACAAAACAGAAAATAAAGATGAGTTGCTTTGGGACAGAAAATCCCGACCTATTTAGAGAAAATACTAGTAACCAAAATAACTAAGCATGCAACCAATTTTAGCATGAAGATTTTGAATGAGTTCTTGCAAGTGCGCTGTGTTAGCACCGATATTTTCAGGAAAAAGTCAAATGGATTGCCGCATAAATAATTACAACAGTCAGCATAATAATAACAATAGTGTTGCATTATGCATGTACTATGCCTAAATAGTAGGCAGGGTTTGACACATAGTGCACTCGCCTCCGGCTCGTGCACCATGTGTCAAACCCTGCCTACTATTTAGGAATAGTACATGCATAATGCAACACTATTATATAAATAGTGTTTGCCGTCAAGATCATTGTATCGAGTGTAGAACTTACGAAATAATTACTTTAACCAGGACTGCTGATATTCTTGCTTCATCAACCTCTTTGTCAATAATTAACCTCGTTTTAGAAAAAAAAAAACGTTCATACGTAGAATATGCTCTTGCATATCGAACCAACTGGGAGATATAACTCAGTAATATGCAGGTATGAATGTATAGAATAAGTAAGGGAAGTTGACTATTGAAAAGTTTGTCATCGCGTTTATCATAAAACGGTGTTGTCAGATAACCATTAACGTCTTTTTCAATTAAAATATTCAAGTATGAAATAGATGACTTGTTGTATCTTTTTTTTCAAGGTCATCGGGATATATTTTATCTATAAAAATGGAAATAACAATTGTTAATTGTCAATACGTCGTGCTAAAGAGTTTTAAAAGAAATCTTTTCGCGTATTAGATTTTTGACAAATTCTGCTTCATACAAAAATAGGTCTGCTAATAGCGTGGCGTAATTGGTATCCATGGGAATTCCAATAGATTGTTGAAAGACCTGCTCTCCAAAAACGACATAGATATTTTCAATCAGAAACTCGAGCATTTTTTAATATCAACTTCAGAGTAC